TACATTGTTTTTTATCTGTCTTGCTCTCAGATGTGCATTGAGTAGGTCCCATTAGGTATAGATCCCCCCCCCCCCCGCAGCGAAACAGATACCGGTAAACCATTTTAACATTCCTATTCCTATGACCCTCTACCAAGGGAAGTTGTATTACTCTAAGTCTGTGACAGAATTTTTTCTGCAATGGCACTTTGGTTGGTAGAATATTTTTTTTTTAAAAAAGCAAACCAGTACTTACTGAGGAGTCATTGAATGACTATAAGTACACTGAGCCTTTTCTATGTTTTTAAAAAATATTTGTCAGTCATGCTTTTCTGCATGTGAAAATTGTTTTATTCTTTTGCATGCATTGTTTGATATTTTCCAATGTAAGGGGCTTTAGAACCTCCTTTGGGCTGAAAGGTGACTGAAAAATCTCTGCATGCATGTGTGTATTTGTGTGTGTTAATATATGCTGTACCTATACATAATTTTCTTATTTGTAGAAACTAAATCGTCTCCAGAAGGAGAAGGAGGAGAAAAGTTAGCTGAAGATGAGTATGAGGATGTGGGAAGCGTTGCAAGTGAAGGTATGTGTTGTTAGCAAGCTGTGGACTTCAAAAGTGTATTTTTATACTGCACTCTGCTTATAAATTAATTCTTAATGTTATGTGATCTCATCATTTGTTTCTTTCTTTTGAAAATTTATGAACATTAGACATTGTCTCTTGTAGTCCAGACTAATATTTCAATGAAATTCAAATCCATTGTTGTTGATACTGCAAAATTATCTTAGGGTTTCCCTTTATTCCAGTGATCTCTGCTCCAGGCACCTGAGACTAGATTTGGTCCAATAGAAAAGAATACGTATGTAGCTCAGAATTGAACAGTGGAGTCCTTGATGATGTCTGAGCTTGGTTTTTGCTTGCACACTTTTCATTGCCCAGCTAAGGTAACATCAGTGTTACTAAGTGTGGGGTTTGCGCCTTGTAGCTTACCCTGCCAATGTTGATGGTGATGTGGTTTTTCTCTTTGGGAGTTTCTTGATTGGGAAATTGTTTTCTGCTTGATTGATTGTCTGATGCTAATCCCTGTCTAGCCAGCAGTTCTGGCTTCTGGATCCTCTCCAGAAAAATACTCAGTAACAATGATGGTGGTACCTAGTTGGTAATTAAACATTTGTAAGCAAATAATAAGCACAGACAGATTTGAGGAGTTCACCGTAATGATTTTCAAAATGAATGTTTCTTTCTTAGCAATATATATTGTTTTTATGATGGCATTTTTGAAATTCAGAAGAAGAAGAAGAACCACCACCAGAACCAGAAAAACCTCCAGAACCAGTGAAGAAGAAGAAAAAAGTAGTAGTAGAGAAGAAGATCTCTGAAAATTTCTATTATAACTATGAAGAACTGTGCTCAAATCCATATATAACTCCAGATTCTGGAATACCGGTGAACCTGCTCTCTCTTAAGTATCCATTTTTGCCAGGGATCCATGTATTTAGGATTTGGTTTCCTATCATAAACCAAAGTAAGAAACAAATGTATTTGCTTTTAAAAACAGCATTGGAAATAATACATTCAATATATTAATGGTGGAATGAGTTACAGATTTTGTAAATAAGATATTGGTTTTGTTTTGAAAAAACTGGTGGTTAAATTAAGTTAAGACTGACAAAGCAATATAGAGTGGAACAAATTGCTTACATTTGCTTGTGCACTTTGTGCAATTCTGAGTACAGCACTTTTAAGAAGTATTCAGTTAAAGTGAACAGATTCAACCAAGGGCAATAAGAATTATTAGAGAACTAAAATCTAAACCCTACAGAGGAAGAGAAGTAATTTTGAATTGTTAGCTTTGAGAAAACATTACTGAGGGAGCATCTTCAAATATGTGTACAATACCCTTTAGATATCTGAATCAGCAAAACCTATTTCCTGTGGTTTGAAAGTACTTAAAGATAAGAATGAAAGATTTCAACTAAGAAAAAAAACTAGCAGCATTTAAAAAAAACTAGCAGCATTTCAGTGATGGAACAATTACCAAGAGAAGCATTGAAGTCCTCTTCATTGGATGAATTTAGGTGGAGACTAAGTAATTGTTTGGGAGATGATTTACTTTGGATTCCTGCAGTCAGTAACTGGATTAGACTCAATGGTCCACTCAAATGCTATGCCTCTAGGACAGGGGTCAGCAAACTGTGGCTCTGGAGCCGCATGTGGCTCTTTTCT